ACAGCTGGACACGCATGATAAGACAGATTAAGAGCATGATAAGACTTCTATTTATCAGAGAAGGGCCTTGTTTTTAGATTGCCTACTTAGCCCGAAGTAGTGTCTATTATAAAGAGTGATTTTTTGTTGAATATCTAAGCTAAGGACGTTAGCTTGTTGTTAAAGTTGTTGTGAAGTTATTGTTATACATAAGTGGTTAACTTATATATTTCACCAGAGTCGTTGGAACTAAATGTTAGGGTACTACAAGAACTAGTTAATTTTATTTATAGCCTAAATTCACATTTTATTCAATCGAAACATTCAAGTTCAGTTTCATTTTTTTATAAAATAATGCAAGATTTTTATTTCTACAGTGGTGATCGCTAAGAAATCTATATATCTACATATTTTACTAAACTAGTGATTAACCTTTTCTCCTTTCTTTTTTTTTAGTTATGAAATCACTCCTCTTTCAACCAAAAAACTTTACTGACATCCCTTTTTACTCCTTATTAAATGGGGTCTATTCCTTTCGATTACTAATATTGAACTTTCACACCTTTGTGTGAATCCCTCTCTTTTGCTGGAGAGCAGGACTATGCTAAATTTAATAAGAATTGAAGAACTTTAACTACTTTGACAGGCTAATTAAGCTTTCCATCAAACTATCTAAATTCTAATCCATCATTTATAAATTGGTATCCATCTCACAACGGCTAAGCAGGCAATTGGACGTTAATGTATGGGATTAACAACAAAAAACTCCTGATTTTTGTCAGATTACTAGATTCGCCTAGTCAAAGACTTTAGATTAGGTGGCGTAAAATTTCATTCATAGCCGCAGAGCCAGAGCCATTATAAAAGTCATGATAGGGTAGACCCATTCTCATAGTATGTATTTCTAGTACACACTGACCTATCAGTAATGATACCGTAGTGCTGAACAGGTCAGGCCTTAGGTTAAAATAACAATTTTTAATAATTTTTTGAAATACTCATTTCGACAGAATGTTGCACACTGCTTTATACTTTTCATATGGACTTTTGCAAGGACATTCATTACTCGCAATGCATTTAAAAATTTAATTACATTTGAGAGTATTTATGGTAGAAGAAGAGTTTATAATTTCTGGAGTGTTGACCTACTAATTCTGCTTGCAGCCACTTACGTTGCGGTTCATATTAGAAATTTATGTTGCACGTTGTACTTAAATAATTACACTAGAATCTTTAATTGGCTTTGCGGTTGCAACAGAAAGTGCAAAATTTCCTTATAATGCAGCATGAATATTTTATTAACTTGATTTGTGCGGCTTTCAGCTTGCATCCTTAAGGGTACATAAATAAGAATTTTATTACTTCCTTAATTCAGTGGCGGCATTAATGTATGGAGGATAGAAAGCAGAACTTGTTATAAAAATTTTAAAAGTATTTTCTATATTATTTATTCATAAATGATTATTTATTTATAATTTAAAGGAGTTATTAATTTATGGAACTCTATTCATATAATTATACTGATTTTGTTAAACCTTAACTTCTAAGTACTAAGCCTCTTCATCTTAACTCCCTAATTACTGAAATGAAATCTCATCGTTACTCTACGGAATAGTGGTGGAAATTTTCTCCATTAATTCTTAATGAATGTTATAGTATTTTAAAGTCTTACAGTGTGACATATAACTAAAGCTAATCATGACTAAAGCTCGTATCTGTGTAACGCATAAATTGACAAAAAGTAAATTCTTTATATGCAAAATCAATGCAATCAAAAATGGACTTTCGATAATCAATTCATATGTTGGGGTTGTGGCTCTAAGAATGAAACTATACTGCATATCAAGTGTCAATGCTCATCACTGATTAGGAGATCTCTGGAGCCCTTTTAAAACTGATCCAATATAGCTGTCATCGTTTACAAAACGAAGACATGAGTTGTTTGGAAGAGGTAAAAGACGAATGTATGAAATGGAGATGCTTCGATATTTTTATAGTAAATAACCTGATACAAGCCTCACAGAATGGAAACGTTTTTGGTTGTTATTGTTGTTGTTGTAACCCTAAGAAAGGTGTAGGTCAAAAAGTGTGAATGAATTACAAGACGAATACGTGACTTAAGATGGGATATTTGGAGGAGGTAAGAAACTGTTGTGTGGATGAAAGTATTTTGGTCTTCATAATAGATGACTAGTCTAACTAGATGACTAGTTACGCTATTCTTGAAACCTTTTTTGTTATTGTAAGTTAGCATGTCATCATCAGTACCTGACAAATCTGTTTGATCCAATTTTTTTGTGAATATTGGAAGTGCTTTCGAAGTGATATGCGGCATATAACAGTCTGTATAGACCAGTGACTTTGGGATTACGTAGTTAAAGTCATTCTACCAGTCTTGGATATATCTACTAGATTTGCTTTTGTTATAACCGCCGAAACTTGTCAGTAGTAACTGTTTTTGGACGTTCTTGTTGACAAATGACTCTATGACGTATTTGCGATCGTTAACGAAAACTTTTGACATTTACATTTAATTATAATACAAAGAATATTATTATCATTTAGCATTTTCCGTAGCAGAATGGCAATATCCTAGACTTTATTTAATAATTTCCATTTTTCATTAAAGATTTTAATTGTTCTAGAATTTGAATGAGAATATCACTCGTCATAATCCTCTCAGTGCTTTTATAAAGTATAAGTTATAATTATAAATTTTTCTTTAACTTTTTGGATTTATTTTAGTTATTAAAAATTATTAATTTTTGTTTTTTCACTTATTCTGTTTATTGTTTATTCAAACACAATAAACAAAATATATCTTTTATTAATAAATGTAAAATTTGTAGTTTTACAAACGGCGACCGCGACGACCTCCCTTTCTACGTGTGGAATCTGATGGAATTGGTGTAACATCTTCGATGCGTCCAATTTTCATTGATGAACGAGCCAAAGCACGTAAAGCTGATTGTGCTCCAGGACCTGGAGTTTTTGTTTTGTTTCCACCAGTGGCACGCAATTTAATATGAAGTGCAGTAATGCCAAGAGTTTTACATTTTTCAGCAACATCCTAAAAAGTATAAATTAAATAAATTTAGTAATTAATTAAATTATTTATATTATATTGTTTATAAATTAGAATTTACGAAAGTAAGTTTTTGAGAAAAAGAAATATACTAAACAATTCCTTATATGCAATTTTTCACAGTTTTAGTTGACATTTTGTAAGAAATCCATAACTTTACTATTGGTTCTAACAGACGGATGTGGTGTTAGATTCTAAAATTACTTGTCGCGAACTGCTTTATAATGCTCACACACACCGTTCTAATTTCACTGTTTAGTTAAGGTTTAATTAACCTGATTACAACAATAAAGTAAAACATGATTTTCAAATTAAACGGAGGATCAGCCATAGGAGAAAAATAACTATGATGATCATTATCTAGTTTGATGCAAAAATCGATTCAAAATTTTAATATAAGTAAGACTTCAAACACCCATATATATATGAGTAATTGTAGAATATTTATCCTACATTCTTATCCTTAACATTAAATAGTTAAGAATTATAATTGTTTTAAAATAAATTAAAAATAAATTCCATATATTACTACTGATCAAAGAGGTCGTACTCCATAGAAAAAATTTTTAACCACGTCAAAATAATCACACTTTTCACCTATTCGATTTTCAGTTTTCTATATAAATTAGTTATATAAAAATAAGCATTAAAATGTTTATATTTTTTAAACTAAAAGTCACTACTGTTTAGCGAGCGAAGCCCTAGTTTTTTATGAAGACGCACTAGACTTTTGACGTAAATCCCGGTTGACAGTTGCATTTATCATTCTTCTGAGATGATAGAAAGTTTTAAATATAACAGTAAATTATAACGTTTTAATCACTAATAAACTACATTGACATTGTTTAACTATTTATGATGATAATTAATCAACAGAATCTGTTAGAAATATTTTTTTAATGCGCGCATCAATCTCGTGGCCAATTTCAAAACAAAAAATTTGCACGTTTTTTACATTAA